TACCTTCCTTCCTTCCTTCCTACCTTCCTTCCTTCCTTCCTACCTTCCTTCCTTCCTCCCTTCCTTTCCTTTCTTTTACTTTTAAGTATAGCTGACATACAATATTATATTAGTTTCAGGTGTACAATATAGTGATTGGAAAATTCTATACATTACAAAGTGCCTACCACAAGTGTAGTTGCCATTTGCTACCTCTCTTGATGTTTTTATTAGGACATCTTGTTACATCTTCTAAATGTAGATGTGAGATATAAGGGTCCATGTTCATACTAAGCATTATCTATTTTGGTGACACACAAAGAGAAAGAAATAATTTTTCTCTATTTATATAAAGTTTCTGGATATATTTCCATCACAAGGGACTGTTTACTTTTTTATTTTAAAAAAAAAATTTGACTTCCCATTATGAGGCAATTACTTGCTAAGCACACATTGGAGCCTAACGTGCATTATCTTTCATATATTTTAATAACTTAAAATAGACCTTGAGTTCTCAATGTGTTCCCTTGCAGTATAAATATCTTCAAAAGTATTTTTACAGTATTTATTTAAACAGAATTTTTCAACCTGAGAACTATTGAAATTTTGATCCAGGCAATTCTTTGCTGTGGCAGCTATCCTAAGCATTGTATCTTTAGCAATAGGATGTTTCTTAGCATTCCTAGACTTGACCCACCAGATGCCAATACACCCCTTCCCCTAATTGTGACAATCAAAAATGTCTACCTACGTTGTCAAAAATCCCCTTTGGAGGGTACCTGGGTGGCTCAGTTTGTTAAGTGTCTGCCTTCAGCTCAGGTCATGATCTGGGGTCTTGGGATAGAGTACTGGCTGGGCTCCCTGCTCAGTGGAGAGACTCCTTCTTCCTCCCCCTCTGCCCCTCCTCCCTGCTCGTGCTCTTTCTCTCTCTCTTTTTCAAATAAATAAATAAATAAATAAAAATCTTTTAAAAATTTTTAAAAAATACATCCCCTTTGGAGGCAAAAATTACTCCTGATTTAGACCCACTGGCTTATAATTGAGTACTAATTCTCACAGAAATTTAAAAATTAAAAGGTGGAAACAAAAAAATCAATAATGTTTTCAGGTAGCACATTATCTGTGTCTTATGAAAACTATCTATTTGAAATTTTCATATTTTATTACATATGGGATAGAGATGATATATTGATGTCCCTGGAAAAAAATTAGCCCAACATTTGAACAGTAAATATATTAGTCATGTTGAGAAGAAATGAAATGTTTGACTTTTATCTTACCTAAGATATCAAGACCTATAATGTAGAATTGAGAAGCGTAATATACTATTAATATGGAACAAATAAGAATTGAGTTTTTTACTGGCCACCAAGAAATGGTAGCTGGTAAGAGGTTTTCTGGAAGATACCGAAGGCATCTCTGCATATGAACTAATCTGTCCTGGTAGACCCTCGTCCTCAGTGCTTGACAGAGAAAATCAGAACCATCTACATTTCTGAGCTGGTCTCTCCTTGTGTGGTCCAGCGTATATGCAAGCCACCAGCCTTCCTTCAGCCCAAGGAACAAATTTGACAAACTTGAAGGAGAATATAAACCTACAGGCATCAACTATGAAATTAATATTCTTCCCTGAAGAAATCTTTTAACTGTGTGCTGTATGTGATATTGACTTAACATTCTAGAAGTCCTTTTGATAGAGTTCTGCACCCTATTTCCTTGGAGAGAAAGAGGTATCACTAATAATTCATATTGACCTCAGAATTTGTTAACAACAAAAAAAAAAAAAAGAAAGAAAAGAAAAAAAAGGTAAATACTTACATAAGGGAAGATTTATGTCAATTTTCTTGCTCATGCATTGTAACTTTCATTGGGTTAACTGATAGAACAGCTAGATAATCTTAAATTAAACTACAGTTGACCCTGGAACAACATGGGTTTGAAGTGCATGAATCCATTTATATGTGGGGTTTTTTAGGTACAGTACAGTATTACAAATGTATTTTTCCTTCCTTATGATTTTCTTAATAGCATTTTATTTTCTCTAGCTTACTTTATTGTAAGAATACAGGATATAGGGGAGCCTGGGTGGCTCAGTGGTTAAGCATCTGCCTTTGGCTCAGGTCATGATCCCAGAGTCCTGGGATAGAGCCCCGCATCAGGCTCCCTGCTCCTCCAGGAGCCTGCTTCTCCCTCTCTTTCTGCCTGCCACTCTCCCTGCTTGTGCGTGCTCTCTCTCTCTGTCAAATAAATAAATAAAAAAAATCATTTTTTAAAAAAGAATACAGTATATAATACATATAGCATATAAAATATATGTTAATTGACTTTATATTATCCATAAGGCTTCCAGTCAACAGTAGGCTATATGGTAAAGTTTTGGGGGAGTAAGAAATTATATGTGTATTTTCTACTGTGTGGGGAAGTGGAGTGGCCGTCAATGCCTCTAAGACCTGCGTTTTTCAAGGGTAACTGTAGTTAGCTCTAAAGAGCTGAAAGTTTTACATTTTTTCTCTCCTTTGGTCCAGAACTGAAATTTCCATGACACTGTGTATTTTCCTTCAGTTTTAGTTTTCTATGAGTCTGGATTAACAGCAACTCTGATGAAATAGACACCATCAAACATTGGGTATTTTTGTTGTTAATAGCTCAATACACACCTGAATCAGTTAAAAGCATTCTGTTGAAATGGTCTATCACCATCAAATTCCAGCATGGGACTAGGAGCAGACGATACCACACACTCAAATCCACTCCATTTCAGGATTTATTTTATGTCAATGTCCTTGGGCAAGAACAAAATTTAATTCCAAAATAATTTATTTATTCAGACATTTGACTAATGGTCTTGCTTCTTCCCAGGTATGATGTTATGTGTTGGGGATATGAAAATAAAAAATTACAGCTCCTGTCTGAAGGAACTGATATTTATTGATTACAAACTGAGTTTTAAGTAACTATTCAATTTGATAGAGCTAACAAATGGGTAAGACATGGGATCTTCCCCCAAGAGCAATGTCAATTCATAACACTGACGATATGTTAGACACTGCATTCCACATCCCCCCTCTCATTTATTTACCAATTCATTAAATTCTCCTTGAGAAGCGACTATGTGAAGCCATAATGTAATAAGATTGGGACACATCAATAAACAAAACAGACAATATTTCTTATTTTTGTGGAGCCCATATTCTAGAGGTAGAGATAAATTCAAGTAGTAAACATAATAAATAAGCAAATTTATGTTAGAAGATGATAAATCAGAGTTAAAGGACCCAAAAATGAAATTTTAAATAGGATTTTTCAGGAGGCCCTTATTGAGAAGGTAACACTTGAGCAAAAAATTGACAGAGGCCAAGAAACATCCTGGGAGCTCACATGAAATTTGTGGGGAATGCCTGTGAAGGGGGCTGGAGAACAGTGAGTCAGGAGGAGAGTCCTGAGTGAGCTTGTCTGAAAGGAAATGTGTTGGCAGATTACCCAGAATTTTTTAGGAATGAGAAGGGATCTTGTCCTCTATTCTGAGAGAAATCCAGTGGGTTTTAACCAGAGGAAAAACATGATTTGAATTTCATTTAAAAAAAAAACTCTCTGAAATGCTTTCAGGAATTAGAAGATATTAATGTAATATAAGTAATACATTATGGTAGTTCAGTCCAGGGTGCTAACAATAAAAACAATGAGGAATGGTAGGATTCTGGGTATGTTAAAGGTAAAATTAGTCAGATTTCATGAGATTTTTTTTTTCCTTCAAGCTACTTTCTATTCTGCTTCATTCTATTCTTCACCAAACTTCTTGAAAAACAGCCTAGATTTATAGTCTCCACTCTCTTCGCTGATACATTCACCCACCTGTCAATTAACTGAAAATCTTACTAATGTGATCAGTGTTTTCCTAAAAACAAACCCAAAGTCCTATTTTAACTCTTTATCTGGTGGACTTTGGCACACTGCTAGAATTTGTCACTGTTTTGACAATTGTCTGACAATTATTTGATGGTCTTTTAAATGCAGTGACCTCTAGTACTTTGTCCCTGAATCCCTTCTCTTCTTGTTTTATATGCCTTCCTGAGATTATCTTGTTCACTGTAGTGACTTCTGCTATCAACAAATATTTTTTCTCAAATCTTCCCAAACCACAAAGCTGTATTTATTTCTAATTATGGAACTTACTTATCTGGATGGTTTCCAAATTCTTTAATCCTGATATGTCCAAAATAGAGTTCATCTTACTCACAAAGGCTAAAGTCTGCCCCCCCCCGCCACTTTTATTCTGTTTTACTAATTGTTAACATCAGCTGCACAGCATCAAGGGCTAAAACACTCATCACTGCTCTGCTTCCTGGTACTCTTCTCCCAAATCCAAAAGTTACCAAATTGGGCTGCTTCTAATTCACAAATAACTCCCAAGCTCACTTTCTCCTCTTTATTTGAAATCCATTAACTTGATTATCTTTCTCATTATTTCTTACTTAGAATGTCCTAATAACATTTACATAGCCTCTCTCCTGCAAAATTTTCTCTAATCCCTTCCTTAAAGGGAAGATGGCGCTTAACATTTCCATAGTTTTACCACACTCCATTTATGAGAATATTCAGCTCCTCAGCAATAGAGGTCTTTTGACACCTGAGCCCAATTTACCTTCCCTGTGTTTTCTGAAGTCTGTGTCCATATCCATATCACTTCACTCCAAACACACACACACACACACACACACACACACACAGCTTAAAAGTGCTTCCCCTCAATTCCTAGAAAATATGCTATTGACTTTTCAAGGTGCAACTAAAACTCACCTCTTCAGTGAAATGGTTGAACGTAAAATTGTTTGGAGTCCAACATGACTAACTTTGAAGCCTGCCCAACCCCTTCTACTCCCTCTGAAACCTTGTGCAGAGTTCTTTACTTCAGTTGTTCTTATGAGTGAAATGAGAATGGTTATACCTATCTGAGAAGGTTATTAGAACATTAAATTAGATAACGAATACTACTTGCTTAGTAAGGAACCTGAAACCTAATGGGCACTTAATAAAGCATAGCCCTTTTTTTTTTTTGAAAGATTTTATTTATTTATTTGAGGGAAAGAGAGTGTGTGTGCACATGAGCAGGGGAGAGGGAGAAGCAAGCTCTCTGCTGAGCAAGGAGTCCGATGTGGGACTCAATCCCAGGACCCTGAGATCATGACCTGAGCCAAAAGCAGACGCTTAACTGACTGAGCCACCCAGGCATCCCTAGAGCATAGCTTTTAATAATGGTTGTGATAGTAGTAATAGTAAAATAGAGTTTTCCAGTGTACGGCTCTTTATTTTATGCTTTGAGAACATTTTATTCATCTCTCAGGATTGTCTTTACAGGTGAATTGTACCATTTCTATGCCCTCATTTCCCAAAAAATATTGGTTTACTCTTGGGGGTGATGAGCTTAATTATTTTATTCATTTTTGCATCTACATCCAGTACAGGGCCAAGTACAAATAGTTGCTTACTTAAATGTGTGTGTATGAATCACAAGAGAAGGTATTCTCTTCATGTAATAGTGAAAGTGAAGAAAAATCAGTGATTTAATAAAGGTTTTCTTTTAAAGCTGACACAAATCTATAAACAACTCATATTAATGATAATAAAACCTACTATACTAATTGTGGGCTACAGGACATTTTATTATCTGTTATCTCATGTGATTGCCACATAACCCTCTGAGGTAGACATGATTCAACACAATTTACAGTTGAAGAAATCAGTACAGGGGTTAAGTCATTTGCTCATTTAGGACATAACTGATGGAGAGATTGTAGTAAAGTCCAGAGAGTTTTCCAGTATAAAACACCAATTAAATATCGCTCTCTGATACCATACTCTTTCACTCAATCATTTTGTCAGGCATTTACACATTTATTGAGCATGTACGTTTCAGGCATCTTACTACATGCTGAAATAAATCAGTGAACAAGGCAAACAGTGGACCTGACCTAATGTAGCTTTAAGACTAGAGGTTTGTGTTCTCACTATAACAAGCCATACATGCTAATAACACTGCTTCATTTGGGGTCAGTTTTAAGTATAAATCCAGATGGAAAGTCAAAACAAAGGCTACGAGAGTAACCTGATTTTGAAGGCTTATTCATTTTTTTAACATTATAAGAGAAGTTTACATATTTTATCCCATTATAATTTTAAAATTTTACAAAAACCTCAATTTCATGAGGAAACTGAAATCGGGTGGACTAAATCATTTATCCAATATATCAAACCTAATAAACACAGTATGCACGCTTGAAACATCATACTATCTGATTCTGAAAGATCACACCCTTTCAAACATGCTATAGAAACTGCCAGCTGACCCATGGCCTTGCTCCTACCTTGATTTCAACTTGGACCCAGTAAGAGTAGACATCATCCAAAATACCTCCTCCTCCTTTCAAGTCAGCCTTTCTATTTGCATCACAAGTTAACAGAAATGTCATTTTCAGAGAAGTTATTTGCTAGGAGATGGGGAAATATATGCCAGACATTTTTCCTGGGAGGAGGACCGCCCTTCCCCCCATCAGAGCTTGGGAAAACTAACATTTAACCAACTGCATGGAGGCCACTGAGCTTTTTTTTTTTTTAATTGTTTCCTAACAGAGTTGTCCCTATTCATGTGTATGCAGGGCTTGTTACAGGTTGCTGTCTACAATAGACCTACACCATATTTGTAGCACTTCACTCTTGTCCAGATTCTCAGAAACCTGCCTAAAATATATATCTCTTGTAGGTCCTTCAATTAGTGTTTACATATCTCTCTTTTCATGAAAATCAGTAATCATAGACCATTTCTCCAGTGATGTGTAAAATGTGCAGAGGTATTTATAGATAAAAGAGATGCTATGCATCCTTCCTCCAAACAGTCATTCATTTTTATTTTTTTGTGGTTTATATTAACTAGTTTCAATCACCTCACATAAATATGCACTCATGGATGATATTTGTATAACATTGTACAGTTTATAACATAACCAGTTTTCACAACACTATTTACATACTTTATCCCATTATAACTTTTACAATTTTCACATGACATAGTTGACTCTAAAATGATATATTATTTGCAAATGACTATGAGTGATAGAATCAATTTTGTAATACAAGCTTTTCATTTCCAGGTCATACAATTCTATAGATTTTTTCATGATTTAAAACATTTTTACTCTTTAAAATAATAAGTAAAAACAACATTAGTATATTTTAATGTTGTAAATGTCACTATACATCCGTATTTTCTCTTTTCTGAATTTAACATATCTTAAAAGTCAACATGGATTTTATGGGTGGGCAAGATATTAGAGTCTCAGGAACACTGACTAGCTTAAAAAGTACATAACCCAGCAAAAGTTTAAAAAAAAAAAAAAGGAAAATGCAACATGGATCACATTTCTCTACTTTTCATTATATCAAATATAGCTCTGAAATAACTTTAGATTTCTTTATTTTTTGATGCTAATGCAAGTATCTTTAATTAATATTAATTTATAATTTATTTATTTATTTTTATTTTGCTCAGTTAGCCAGCATATAGTACATCATTGGTTTTTGATGTAGTGTTCAACGATTCATTAGTTTTCACCAAAATTTGCTGGGGATTCTGTCATCGTGAATTACCTTCCCATTCCCAAAGGACATACATATATTTACATGGCAAAACCCTCCTGACAATCTTTCATTTTATGCTTAACTTCCTTTTCTTTTCTACTAACTTTATTAACAACAATAAAGTTAGTCCATTTGAAGTCTTCTCTACATTCTCTACATTGGAAGTTTCTGACTAGTTCTCAACCAAATGTTTAGAGAATACCAGGTACTCAGACACCTGCCACATGGAAATGAAACACCATTCTGAATTTCATTTAGGTTCTGTGCAGGCAATTAGGTTCTATGAGTTAACATGTAATTTTAATCTAAATTCAATTCAATTTATTCTCTAAATTTTAATGAAATTATTTTGCTTTATTTTTCCTGACACGTGTAAAATTTAATATTCAAAATATATTTGTGATAGCTATGCTTATTATATTCTATCATGCAGATAGATGGAATGACGAATCCAAGATAAGTAAATACTATGATAAAATTTGGGGTGGGGGTAATAAGACTGACTTCCAAGTCTCTTTTCTAAAGGCATTAGTTGCAGTAAAATTGAATCATTAAAAGAAATAAAATCCTAAGTAACCAAAATATTTGCTTCCATTTTAATATATGAACCCAAAGCTATGAATTTGGAATCTCAGGCCATCCTTCTTTGTATTGTGTTAGATGACTCACTAGAAGACTAACATGGGGATCCTCTTTTTACTAAATACTTAATGTACAACAAAACTGTGTTTCCTGAGCATATCTTATGTGGTTCTGTTTCCTCAATAAATTACTCTATCAGTATTTTCATGCTTACTGTACTATAATTATCAGGATATACTGGGTAGGAGATAACAGAGAATCAGAAGAAATCATTACTATCATATAAGGTTTATATTTTGGCTACAAGAATAAAAGTATCATAAAAAATGTTTAAGAAAAATACATATATTAAGTACTAAGTTATGTTATTCATTCATTATTACCATAGACTGGTGAAAGGGACATATTCATTTGCTCTAATATAATAAAAGAAAATTTCAATTACGAGTAAGATCTGGAATGGAGAAGAAAGCATTGAGCAAATAATACTGTGAAGAGGTAATCAGACTAAGTTTAAAAAATTGAAAACACCTGAAAATAAAAATTATAGGTTTTAAAAAACGACAGATGTCATCTTAATGAAAGCATGAGAGAGTAAATCTGGTCTTAATAAAGTAAAAAAAGAAGATAGGAAGGCAAGGACCTTCAGGAGCCAGCTAAAGTTCAGTACCGATGTGAATTGTAAGATAAGTACATACACATTTGTGCAAGGAAAATGTTTGTAGCTCGGTCACTTTCTGTACCAACTGCTAAATTGTGTCATAAAACTGCCCGACACACCGGACTGTCCATCACCCACACACATGATCTTGTAACTAGAACAGATTTTCTCCTTCCCTAAGTAAGAAGACCCCCAAGTAAAAAATTAGATTGATGGCTTTACATGTCTTTTTTGATTGCAGCCAGAAGTAACTTGAAGCCCAAGTATAGATTTCAGAGATGTGAAAGAGTGAAAGGAATGTGTAAAACATTTTGTGATGATGATGAATATGATTACGGATACTGCATTAAATGGAGAAATCAGTGTTGCATATAAACTCTGGAAAACAGAAGTACAATTGAGTATCGAAGGCTGAAACAGAGATGCATCTTATTGACTCAAGGGTGGGTAAAAAGAAAACGCAATGTTTAACAGAAATATTAACTTTTATATCCTCAGTACCACTGTTTATATAAATAAAAATAATTTAGTTTCTATTCTGTCTATTCATTGCCCACTTTCTTTGTATTTCAGATGGATAAACATATTCATTAAACAAGGGATCAGACTCTAATTGTCCTTATAATGTCATTATGGCTATGTTGCCATCCAGACATTAATGCTACTCATCTGAATTGCTCTGTTTCCTCCTCCTATATATATGGGACTTTACTGCCAGTTTTACTACGAGAATCATGGTTATCTTCGTACTTGCTTTATTCCACATCAAAATCTCTCCAAAAAATAATTTTAATTCTTTCTTAAAAGAAAATGCATGTTTTCTCTCTTTCAAATGTGAAGCCTTCCAATCTTGGCTCACCTACTAACCTTTTTGTATGCATTTAACCAGTTCCTATAAGATGACAATTTGAGATGACACAGTTTAATAGCCCTCTCAGTAGGGCAATGAAATACTATTCATGGCTCTGCAAAGGGATAAATGATAAGGTCTAAGAGAGAGAGAGAGCTTCTTTTGCCCAGGAAATCATTTGTTCAAATAAAATTCCCCAGTGAAGCTCAGTAATAGCTGTTCTTGTTCCAGCAATTTAGGACTATGTTCAGCCAGCTCAATCAGCTTCTCCCAAAGAATGTGTCCTATTGAGAGAATCTTTAATTTTGTTGGAGAAGGAATTGGAATGGGAAAGCAATGTAGAGTCTTATGGAGGGAAGCTCAGTAAGCTGATGAGTGAACCTGACCAACTACTCAGAACACCAATCTCTGAGGTCCACCATGAGATCTAGCAGGATTAGTTTTGTCTAAGAGGGCAATGTGAGAGAGATGTTAGAGAATTTCAGTTTTCAAAAGCAGCTCGTGCAGCTGATACACACATGGCTAACTCGGGAAGTGTCACGGTGAGCCTAGGAAAGATGAAGATACACGTGTGGTAGCAAAAATGAGGACTCCTCTGGCCACCCTGAAGACTATATTTTACCCTACAGATCTTCACTGAGGAGAAGGTGGCTTTTGTATTTCCAAAAACTGTGCTGCTGTGGGGGCCAGGGATGAGAAGGTGGCATTTAGTTTAACCAAAAGTTGTTATTGTTACATTACACCCATGTGCTTAAAACGGTTTAGGCTATTCTACCTGAAATATTTAAGTTATATTGTATACATATATTGATACATATCAATGCATAATATGACTTCATTTCATTAAGACACAATGTTCCTGGACTGATATGTCTAGAAAAATAGCATTGTCTTTGTGAAAGTGCAGTATTCTCTCTGACTCCTAGTTCTTTGAAGATACCACTAACAAAGAATTGAACTTTTCTCATACTTAGCAAGCCCCAAGAGGTAAGAATTCTCTGTTCCTTCATTTTAAAACACATGATATGAGAAGGAATGTCTTTTAATCCTTTTCTACTAAGAAATTTTCTAGTGTGAAGATTTTTTTTCCCTTTTTAAAAAAAAAAAAAAGCATTCTGTTCTATAAGGTCAGAATTCCATGAGGTAATATAGACATGTTTATATAAATATTTATACTTCCAAATTGTGGAAGTAATTACTTTGTATCTTGAATGATAATATTCTAGGCATCAAAGGATCATTAGATTAATCCCATTACTACCACTCATCAACAGTCATCTATATTTTAATCTTGCTGGACACTAGTTATTTGGAAAAATTTGCTATAATTTTTAGCACATATACTTAACCATGGTGATAGCTTACGGTTAGAAAAAGATCAATTTACCTGTTCTTTTTGATTATTATTGCTTTATTGCCAGTGGACTATTTCCTGCTAAGAGGAATACTAATTTAGTATTCTCTTTTGTGATACTTCAGGGATATCATGTCCATTAATGATTTCTTTGAGTATCATTTGTACTACCTTTCTAATGGTAAGTGAAACTGATTCTGTGAATGCTGAATGTAATATCTCATAGAACTATTTCTTAGTAAGAGTTCTTCATCTAGGGGATATGTCTCCAGATTGGTCATGTTACCAAGTATGCACTGTTTAAGTACTGTACATAAATACAAGTGTTTAAGTAATTTTTTATTTGATTTTTACTGCAGTTCATGACCTATACTTCTTAATATGTGCCCTTATATACCACCAACCTCTTGAAAAATCTCTGGTATATGCTCAATTAATAACTGTTAAATGAGATTTTGCCAGAGATGTATTGATTTTCCTCCTGTCAGCTGATCTTGAATTCTTTTTCTTTTTTAATTGATTCAAGTTCCTTACATTTGATGATGAAGTCCTATCTTTTAGTTTTTATTTTATAGGTTACAAATTTGTTGTAAAGAATCCTTAAGATTTTTTATTACTTTGAATCTCGCTTCCCTAACCTGTAATGTAGAGGAGTTTATTCTCCAAGTATCTGCTTATGTTTAATTACTTATTTATCACTCTGTGATTTTCTTTTTAATGTTACTGTATTGCAAAGGTTAGCAAACTACAGCCCATGGGTCAAACCGAGCCCTCCTCCTTGTATGGCCTATGAGTAAAGGCTAGTATTTACCAATGATATTGTAATTGATTTGATGATATGAACTACTAACTTCTAACATCAATTAAGCAAAATGTTTAATTAATGTAATCCTTATTAGTAGATCTGTATTCCCCTAAAAATATTATATGCAATCATTCTATCTATTGAATTTTTGTCAGTTAAAATTTATGGAAAATTGTTTTCTCTCTTCTATTCAAGTTCCTACAAAATATCCTTGATTTTGCATTTTGGACAGCAAAGGCTCAAATATTTGCCCTTTACAGAATACATTTGCTGGTCTCCATACAGAAAAGAATCAGTAAAATTTCCAGGTGCAATTTGTGGTCTGTGGAGCATCTGTTTTAGCATTACCTGAGAACATGCTAGACATGCTAATTTTGGGGGGACTGAATCAGAAACTGGAGATGGGAGCCAGCCATATGTGTTTAACCTGTCCTCAACTTGATTATAATGCAGAGAAAATTTGCTAACCTTTGCCTAGAAATGTTCTTAACTGTTGAATTTTGAAGCAAAATCATGATCCTTTAATGTTTTAGTTAACTTGGATCAAACTTCAAGACCCCTTGACATTACCGATAAAATATTGTCCAGTAGGAGAAGAAAGATGCCAAGTAACATATCTTTCTTTGGAGAGGATATGGGCAAAAGGAAAATGTAGAGAGAAATTTTAGATAAGGAAATTATAATTCTGTCTCTCATTATTTATAGTTTGTCAATAGGTGTTGCTTGACCTAAACTAAGTAAAAGTAAACTAAATCAGTATATGTCATTTTTTTCTACTTTTTCTACTTTTTTCTACATTTGATATCATTATACTTTAGACACAGAATATGTATAGTTGTGTTGAAATGGCAGTGCTGATTTTCTTGCTGCTCCAAAGGATGATATAATGGTCAACCAAAGGAATGTGATCAAGATAGCTTTCCCCTCAGCTTTGACTAAACTTCAGATGGATTTCTTCCAGACTAGAGGCCCCTGACCTCACTTTTCTTACTGAATTTACTTTAGAAAACTTACAATTATAAATTCTTTCTCTGTTCCTTTGAAATATATGTAAATCTTCTCCCAGCCTCTCCTCAGTATTACCAGAAATGTCTTTCTCAAGGACCTGAGAACCATCCCTTTGAAATATACATTTCAAAGGACATAACACTCCTGTCGCTCAGTCTCTGTGAGAGGCTAAAAGCCTAACTTCAATGGGTGCCAGTTATCAAATACAGATGGCCTAATCACAGAGGAAAGCACTGGCAAACTCTGGGATAACTTGCTGTGCTCAAGGTAGCTCAGTGATCAAACTCCTCAACCCTTGTCATCCCCCCATGCTTTTCTATTTGATCACACCAGACCCTAAGAACCTTCCTGCATTTGGTTTCATTGAAATTGAGTTCACTTTCTCTCCATTATTGCAATAGTCTTCAATAAAGTCTTCCTTGGCTGTTTAACTTTGTCTAGTGCAACTTTTACTTTGTCAAATAAAATGACAAAAATTTGAATTCTGGGTTTGAAGGATTTGCTTAGGAAATACCCTCCCCAATATTGAGAGAAGATATTAGCTAGAGAATTTTCCTTTTTTGGTAGAATGCTATATATACCATATGAGTTACACATATAAATGCTATGAGAAGACAAAAGAGATTATAACTTTTCTTAGAGTGGTCAGGGAAGACTTTTGAGAGGAGGTGATATTTGAGGTCAAAGAGCACCACATGTGTTTCAATTATCAGGTATCCCTAGAGTCTGGCACAGAGATTGACCAAGGGTAGACACTTGATACCTTTTTATAGAAAGAGTGAATTGATAGCTGGATGCATATATAAATAATGAAGATCCAGAGACCCTATCTTGAGGAGTACTCGTATTGAAAAGCATAACATGGAAGGGAAGAAGGCAGGGAGTTTTCAAATAGTTAGAACTGAAATAAAGTCAGAATTAGGAAAGGCATTTTCAGGAGGAGTGGTCATACATAATGCCAAATAATATAGACTATCTTGGAAGGTGTGGTGTTTTGGATAAAGTAGGCATATAGTTATATACATCATTTTAAAACTCTGCTTAAAAAGGGGTTAAAATTCAACACAAGAGCATAAATGCTAACACTAAGAAAAAAAACTTGTTTTGGACAATCCTCTAACTGATTTCTTTGCTTGTCTTTCCCAGGCTAGTTGTCCTCTATCACTGACACATATCTGCAAAATGTCTCCTGAAGAATATTAGAAGCACAGGTTCTTTTGGTCTTTCTGTATTTTTTTAAATGCTTTATGTCATATTTTTGATGCTATTGAGTTTCTTTTGCTTTTTAAACTTCCATTGACCATTATGTTATTGGATTTTTGGTATTTATGTTTTTAAATTTCTTAGTGGCAGTAACT